TATATATATATGTGATTCAAGTGAAGTGTTATAATAATAGTGTATATTGGCTCGTATGGTGGGACACTATAAGGCAAATTCATGGAGGCACAGAAGGACAGATACAGGACATTGTGCGGGTCAGTTCATCTCAAACGTTAACGCAACATGGACCAAAGGCACTCAGGCAGTTCGGAAATGACAGTTGGAAGCATGAGGACATTCTGTCACAAAATATCAGCGTTTAGCATGGTAGATGGGCCTAAACAGCAGTCTTCAACAGTAAAAAAAAAATACAACAAGCACATCAACAGAGCTTAAGTATTTTTCATGATCAGTGCATTCATGGCAACTACATCTTAAAATTAAACAATAACATAAAAGCTATGATGAAGAAATGATGAGAAGCACATGGAATATGTTGAGATCGCCCGTACAGTGATTCAAGTAAAACTGACCTATGTTCAGAAAAAATGTAAGTAGCACCTCGGAATCCAGCATATATCCTGTGTTCGGAATAGCAAACTTAAGTCTCAATGAGTAACAAAATAATATCTGTAATGTCGAATTGTTTGTACATTTCTGAGATTATCTCTAATTGTCATGCTTTTTTTTTTTTTTTTTTTGCTTACATGCTTTAATTGCTTACCTCCATCGTCTCGATTGTCTTACTTATTATTCCTTGCCGTTTGTCTGGCTGTGCTTACCGTTTGTTCATTCGTTGATCAATGTAATCTATGACTTGCTTTCTTAGGCATTTTTACCATGTGTGTTCATTTCTGTTTTGCCGTTTATGTTCTTACTGCGCTGTCTTGTTTCTCACGTGTTATGTGCTTCCATGGTTTTATTTTGGAACATTGCTCTGTTTCTGGGGTCCGAGATATGGCATTTACACCTGCTTGACAACAATGTCCATCTGTAATGGCTTTTTAGGAATCACGTGTGATTATTTTATGTACTTTTTCATTTTGTTTTAATCTCAGCGTGTAAGGATCGGACTGTAGACGAAGTACCTTTGCTGGACACGTCTGGCAGCCTAAGAGATACTTGTTTGAAACACGAAAGAATTAACTGCGTTCTCATTGGCTGTTCAGTGAGTATTGCCTGTTTGGACAGCAATTCGAGGAAACTAAGGGACTTTGAAAAGGGTCATGGACAATGTTATGTAACTTAAAAATGTCCTACTACTTACGCACGTGCTTCATTCTTAGATTGTGGCTATTGTTCCAATGACCACTTCAGTATTAAGGACCGTGACTCATGGTGAAATGATCTTACCCCCACAGAAAAAGAAAGGAGACTGTAATCATTAGAAATATATCCGTTTCACCATCAGTTCATATCATTGTAATCAGGTAGAGATTATGCAGATGAGGCAATGTTCTTTCCGACTGCCTATAAAGACTTGGAGTGAGCTTTCAGTGCCTACAGCTTGGTTGGGGAAAAAAAAAAAAAAAAAAACATAACAGTGACCAATTGTCAATGCAGACATGACAAACCAAGCTATAGGCACAATGAAGAAAGCAAAATTAATCTCAATAAACTGAATGATTTTTGGTTTCCATGTGTTAAATGCTTAAACACAGCATTCCACTACTGCTCTACTCAGTATGTGAAGCTTATTTGTAAGAGACTTTGAAGGAAGAGGATTGGCAATTTAGTGAACATGCCATAAAACTGACAATCCGGTATCTGGCATTTTCCTTGGGATAACATCATTATATTCATTGAGATATTGTATCTTACTTTTTTTAATAATCACGCAGTGTTGGTTACCTTTGGCAAAGTGTACTTTGGCAGTTTCATTGGAGTAAAGACATCTCTCTTCGCAGACACATAGTAGATAGGCTTCCCTGTAGTCGACACCTACAGGTGAACATTGCGTGAACAAGACAAAGAAGAAAAACATGATCAAATTGTTCAGAATAGTGTGTCTTCAAGTCTTCACGTTTTACACCGCTACGTTGTTTTGAACTGTGAGGCGGGTTTGGACAATCACCCACCTGGACAAACACATACTCATCTTGAACCACCAGAGAATTGTGGTCAATGTAGCCAGGGAATGGTTTGCCCTTGTTGGCATCTGTGCAGTTCTGCAGCTTGCAGGTGACATAGAGTGCCTCTGCTCCCAAACACACACAAACACAGAAGGCATCAGTCGTGGTGTTAACCGATGAAGATAGACAACCTTCCCATGAAGCCAGACGGCCTTTTCCGCCTTTCCATATTACTCGTGTCAATAAATCTTGAAGCTAGTTGGAGGTGAAGATAGATGACCAAAGAGGCCAATTGCTTTCTTCGCCTTCAATTGAAGTCCATCGAGAGAGTCGGGCCCCACATGCGAGCATATGTGCTAGCTCTCTACACATGCACATGATCAATGGTGATAGTTTCGAGCATCTGACTGTAACATCAGACACAATAAATGTTGCTTTGTGGCCTTGTACTGTGTGATTGGCCTTTCTTTTGTTGTGCTGATGTCAAAGACAGGCATTGATTCCTTTTTCCATAATGCTTGCAGCAATACTTTTCATTTGGCACTGCCTACATGGAAAAACACCATTACTGGAAAAACTCCAGACTTTTCGGCAACTGGGGCTTTTTGTTTCATATCAAATCTCTTTCTTTTTTTTTTGTTTTAATTGAAATTACATATGCAAATGAATGCTTTAATGATTTTTCACGTATCTTGAATAATTCATAGATGAAAAAAAAAGCTAAATTGTTACCTCAAGGCGTTATTTAATTCAAATCATACACGTTATGTGGCTTGTTAAGCCCTGGGATCATTTTTCTATACAGACAGTCATTGCGGACTCGCACTACTCTGTTCAGAAATGAAGCGGCACATTGGCGCGGGACCCAAGAAACCATTCGTAAAAGAAAGCAAGTCCAAAGTTTGGGATAATTTAGAAAAAGAAAATAAAGTGTAATGTGTCTAAGCATCAACAGAGTACCACAACAGAACATCTACGATGATTCCACAACTGAACCGAAAGCATCCACTCAGCTTTACGTTACTTTGCATCTGTGGTGCTTGTAAGATAACAGTGATGTAAGCTAATTTAATATCGCCTGTAATCACTGCTTAGAATGCATGGAGCTTGCAGTGGTTCCACCCTGATGCCAGCATGGCGAGATATCATGTTAGGATGTGGAAACTAATTCGTATTCAATTGCAAAAGAGTAATAGCCCACACCCAATAATTGCTTTTCACACCCGCGCTCATCTCGTCTCCCACTCTCCCGCTCACATGCATGCGCACACAAACATATCCTCTTTTGTCCCAGTGTAATCGCGACACCATATGCTGTCGGCAAGGCCATTATTGGACATAATAGGTTATTCGGTAGTACTGGTAAATGCTGCAAATGCACAAAACTATATTACGATTTCACCTTTAAAGTCAGTACAGGGCCGAGAAGACAATACAGTAATTATGTTTTTGTGAAGTTAAAACTAAGGCCTATAATAGCCTTTTACGATTTGAATTGGATTTCATAGTTTTATATGTTACAGGTTATGGACAGTGCCATGCATAAGTATTTGCCCTTTTCTCAAATACTTCTTATTTGTGGACACAAGGGTTTTATTAAAACAATAAAAATAAAAAATACAATAATGTAACAGTAAAGCTGAATGTAGTATATAGACTTCAGTATGTGAATAGTTTGGGGAGGGATCCTAAATCAAAGTGTTTTTTTATTTTTTTATCAGCTGCTTAATGAAGAATAAAATGTTTTCACATTGTTTAGACATTTACCAGGATATAGAATAGAATAACTGATTCATAGCGCATTACATACGCAGCGTAACTGAATATGCTTCCCATATTGCAATTATAAGTGCAACAATTAAAAACAGTTACAGAGATAAAGAGATGTAGGAGCAAAGTTAAGAAATAAAACATAGCTCACTTAAAGGACTAAAAGTGCATCCAGTGCAAGAACAAGATTTTCGAAAACATAATTGAAAACGTGAAAACAATTCGTGGCACCATATTCTAGTACAATGTTAGAAGGAGTTTGTTTGCAATGATCATGGCTAGCAGTGCATCAGACAGGTACAAAACCCACTCTCTTTCTCAAAGAAGCGACAAGGCTGTCTGGAGTCGATCCAATTTGACAAGACGTTTGAGGAAACCCATCGATCGCAATATAAGCCAGGAATGAGCATGGACTTCGCAAAGCAAGTGTGACCGTGTCACACAGTCACACGGAGCACAGTGCCACACCCAATTGCCACTTTGGACAGAACTGGGAAGTTCCCGAATGAATAAATGCTCATCGGTTCGGGATGTCCTTTTAACATGTGCCTTGAATGACATATTGTGAATTAAAAAAGATAATGCAATTGGAGTTTCAAGAGTTCATGATGCCACCAACGAGGGTTTCCTCGGTGGCAGCGATACACCCTGGTCCCATGCCCGAAGCCGCAGGGGCCCGCGGGGAGGGTCGGCAGGGGTCATCTCCCCACTTGCCAGGTGCCCCTTCTTCTCCCCGGACCACTGCGAAGCCCACAAGTCAAGTCCCGGTGAGCTGCGGCCGGCATAGAGGAACCTCTCCCCGCCGGTGCCATGAAGACCCGGCCGCCTCAGAACCATACCCCTCTTCGCCTGGTACCCAACTCGGGTTAAATGTATACACACAGCGCTGTGTATAGTTTGGATGTTCTTGAAAACAAATTTAAAAAACCATCAGAATATGTACCTGGAAATGGATGTCTGGACTCTTAAAAGGCAAAAATATGTCAATACACACCTGCGTTATTCCCCTTCTGGTTCAATAGATAGTTCTTGAATAATCCAGTTGGTATTTTAATTTGTTGGACTATGACATGTCTTCCTTTCAGAATAGTATGAGACAATTCGATTTTTGGGGGTTGATTTTGACAGACTGTATCAGCACATAATATCCCAGTTCATTCATTTGAATTCATTCGTTATAATTCAGAAAGTCCTGATTTTTTTTTAACCCACATGAGGGGGATGGTGTTGTTTCCCTTGGTTTTCACAACATCGTAATGCATGCATTATTTTTTATATTGTCATTTTGAGGCCCCAGACTTGTTCATTCATGCCGACCATTTGCATTACACTTGAACAAACTGGCAGCTTCCAACTCATCTCTACTTTATCAACTCTCCCAGAACAGTACAAAGCATACCAGAATGGAGTACTGAACATAAAATTCAATTACTCACGTCCTTCAGAGATGGTGGTTTCCAGGTGAATCAAACCTGGCTCCTTGTCCAAACCCATTTTTGACCTGAAAGGTGAAAAATTGTTTTTTAAAAAGGAAGCGCATGCCTTCTTTACCGGCTCAGTGCAAATGTAACGTTACACTCTTCAGAATTAGACTATATGCTATAAATGCAATGAAATGATCAGCATAATTAAGGTGGCCATCGATAACATGAAAAACAAATGAATAAATACAAATGTTTACTCTGTGATACAAATGTAAAGGTCCTTCCAAGGTCCGTCCCCACCCCAAAATATTGAGGACATTTTTTCCTGATAACAACAGAAGAGGGAAAGCCATTTCTCTCAACTGCAAAGATGCCCGCAGATGGAACAGAATATCATCATTATGGCACATTATCCTTATGACACTTAATGTGTTAAAGAGACCAGAGGATCACAGGAGAAGCAAAGACTGCAAGCACGTGGCACAGGAGAGAACTCGGAGGGGGAGATTAATGGAAGCAGAAAAAGAGGGTATAAAAGAAAGACAATATCTTTACAAGTTCCATACATTTTACAACATCCAGAATATGAACAACCTGAGTTTGTGTTCAATTTGAGTGGCAGTAATAATGCAAAAATCATATCTTCACAGTACTGTATTGAATTCCATGCATTTACAGTAATATTTGGCCTACTTTTCATGACCATCAGGCGCACTTAAAAGTCTTAAAATTCTTCCAAAATGGACGGGGTGCCTAATAATGCAGTCCGTCTTATGTGTGCACCGAGGTTCAAAATCTTTGAATGTTGTTGTTTGACTTGACTGACTGATGTTGAGCCAACACGCTGCTTATATAGAGGCGTTGAGTTGAGTGACTGAGAACAGCATGCGGACGTTAAAGGGGCAAGAGTGCGTGTGAAAGAGGATGCTAAAGGTACACCCCCAGTAGGTGTATACTGCGGTGCTGATACGTGCCTTGTGCAAAACAACATCAGTTTGGCTCGGGACCCCCAAAACTGGCACATATGAAGAGAGAGGCTTATGAAGCACAGTTTAAACCAGGGGTGTCAAACTCATTTCACATGGTGGGCCACATACGGCCTCGGTAGATGTCAAGTGGGCCGGACCATTAAAATGATACCATACTTTGCTATAAATAACCAAAACAATGTCTTTCCTTTGTTTTGGTATAAAGAAGCACAAGAACATTAGGAAAATGTTGAAATTTAATGAACATATCTTTTACAAAATATTTCATGAAGCACCTTACATTTCCTTCGACAAATGTGCAATTTACTTTTATCATTCACATAAATGCATTGCAAATGATCCCACTGATTGTACAAACATTAACAAGTAATTGGTATTGAAAAATATAGTAATGCACTTTAAGATTAAACGAGATTCATAAAGAAAGGAAGTTTTAAACCATTTACACGTGCATATAAAATCTAAATGTAATCTTACAAACTAAGGAGAGTGCTATTAAATGTGTAAATGTGAGAGTGCTATTGATAGCGTCTGCTGTCATGGGTCTGTCACAGTGACGGACTGAGGCTGCTGTTGTCTTCTTCTCTGATCAAAACAGTGTCCCCTTGCGGATACTCAATGAATTGCACCTTATTAAAAATATTAATTCTGTCTTTAATGCATTTTTTTCACTTTTAAATTATCCTGTGGGCCTAATTGACCCTCCTTGCGGGCCGTATGTTTGACATCATGCTTTACATAATCATCTCGCGGGCCGGATTAAACTCCTTTGCGGGCCGGATCCGGCCCGTGGGCCGTATGTTTGACACCCCTGGTTTAAACTGAAAGCTATCAGTTACATAGAGGATCATGGGAATCGAGCACTTGTTCAAGATCAACAAATCCATGGTGTTTTCGTTTTATGAAAGCTTTCCATTCAGGCAAGAACTACCGTGGCGAAGCAACATCCGGCGAATTACATGGCTGCCCATCTTCGGCTCCTACTGCAATAAAAAGTTTGCCGACATGCACATCCAGCCCAACCACATCACCAACATGGACCAGGTGCCGCTCACTTTTGAAGTCCCGGTGAACCACACTGTAGAGAAGAAGGGGACCAGCTCGGTAACGATATGCAGTACGATGCACGAGAAGTGGGCTTTTACTGTTGTGCTTGGTTCTCATGGTCATGGACAGAAACTGCCACCAATAGTGATTTTTAAGAGGAAGACGCGGTATAAAGAAAGGTTTCCCGCCTGAGTTGTCATTAAGGCCCATAAAAAGGGCTGGATGGACAAGGAGAAAATGAGAGAGTGGCTGAGTGAGGTGCACATAAAGGAACCGGATGTTTTTTTTTCCACGCATCAACGTCCGTGTTGATCTGTGACTCCATGCGCGACCATCTCACAGCCGCTGTGAAAAACCAAGTTCAGCAAATGAACTCGGAGCTTTCCATCATTCCGGGAGGCTTGACAAAGTAACTCCAATTGCTTGACATTGGTGTAAACAGGGCGTTCAAAGTGAAGTTGCGAGTGGCGTGGGAGCGATGGATGACAGATACGTTCCTACTTGCGCTGTTGTTCGAGGGTTCACAGAAGATGGCATAATTTCTGACGAGCCGCACGGCAGCGAGATTGACTCTTGACAATGACGATAGGAAACCTGGCAGGTCTGATGGATGCATTTATGGATGAACCATTGATCAAAAAATTAACGTGAGTTCAGTAGAATAAAGTATGAACAAATTCAATTTTGCTCCTGTTGCTTTTTAAAAAACATACGCTAGCGTGCTGCATGCTACCGTATTTTAATAAGCTAGCGTTTGTTTTCCCATGCACACAGGTGATGAACTTATCCAACTACCCGGTGAGAGCGACGACTTTGGCTGTGTATTTCCAGGCCTAGCAATGCAGCCGTCCACATTGAAAATTACCATTACATATGTTTACCCATGATTCGTTATGAGGGCTGTCCAATTCCTTCTTTCAACTTTTGTTGCTCAGCAGAGGTCAATACTCTTGTCCATGAAAACCATCAGCTTGATTGGGCTCTACGGAAGTAGCCAGCAGACTGCTTGTGCATCGCATGCATAACTGCGTACGTGAAGATTGGAAAATGATTGATAGACTCTTGGGTCACACTTGTCTGTCTCCAGAATGATTTTTCAAAAGATCCTTTTAATGTTATTATACTGTCAGTTTATCCAAACAGTTCTCACATACCGGTACATGGATTTTTGTTGTTGTTGTTGTTTTTTTCTTTAACACTGGTTGACGATATTAACATTCGAAATGCAGGCTCTGCATTTCGCTGCCGTTGGGCCAAAACCTCCTGTCACAATGTGGTAAATCTACTCTTCACACAAATCTTGTCAATCCACAAGTGTGGGTCTTATTTTTACAAAGTATTGTCCGATCTATAATATTGGAACTATCTTGCTCTCATTGACAATGTGAATGTCAATGGTTTTTGAGATCTCCAGTAAAGTGATGATTTAGGAAGTAGGGGGATTCCGACTGATGTCAACAATCAATAAATCAATCACTTTCTCTACCAGTAGTCAGCCAAACACCAGAGTGCGAACGTTCAGTTATGGCTTCATTCCGGTGCCTAAATAACAAGAGTGTACCCTCCTGGGTCTTGGCAAGAGAGACCCTCCAAAAATTGGAGGTGAGAAGCATCATGGGGAGGAGCTCGAGCTTCGAAAGGGCTCTACATCCATTGTCTGGACTTGTTTCGGATTTAGGGCCAGAAAGGTGATATCATTTTTATTTAGTTAGCTCTTAATAAATTTTGAATTCTTGGGTAAATTTTATTAATTTATTTATGTTTTAATTTTAATTAACATTTATTCTAAAATAATAATCAACTAATTTCAAATTTCATTTGACACGGCAATCGGTTTATATTTTTTTTTTCAAAAGTAGCGCCGTAAAAAATATAGATGTGCAATTGTGATTAATGTTCATGATGATCAATTGTGCAGCCCTTGCTGTAATCACCAAAATCAGTACATTTTCTTTGTCAAAACTAGGTTCGCAATAGAAAACACAATGGCTTTATATTTATCAAAGCCCTTACAGTCCAAAACTATTTTTGAGTTGAGATTAAAAACAAACAAACAAACAAAAAAACTGCCAAGTGAAGTTATTTAATTCTCTGCCATTCAGAGTTTAATTCACAGTTAAACAGCCCACAGTTTGTTGGACACAGATCTCAACACTTACCAGTAAAAACGATTTGGAGTCACTCTCTCATGCACCATTTGCCACCTCCTCCCGAACTCCACTGAGCTGTAGAGCTGTATGCAACACAAACCAACCAGAATGAGCATTGAACTATTTTACAATACAGTAAAAACCTTCTGAAACTGTTTTGGAATAGCATCTGTGGGAAAAAAAAAAAAAGTACATCTGGTTGATGTGTCAATTGGCAGGAATGTACAATCGGTTTTAAACTGTGAGAATTGGCAGAGTTCTCTTGTGGGAATACATGAATATGGTTGACACTTTTCAGCCCCCCCCCCCCAAAAAAAAATACAATGTTATGGTGTACGGCATCACAGCCGTTAGTATGCCTGCTTCAGAGTTCTGAGGTTCGGATTTTGAATCTCGAGCCCCTACGTTCAGTGTGGTGTTGCATGAGTTCTCTCTGGGCATTCTAGCATCTTAAATTGCAAAACAGACATGCTAGTTTGATTGAAGACTCTAAGTCAGCGGTCACTAACATCCTGCCCAAAGACACCAGGTTGCCCCCAAGGACCACATGAATAGCTTGCGGTTGTGTTAGCGCACCCGTGGTGGTACATTGTGATTTCCTTGAAACTTTGTAGAAGTGATCATTTGAAAATTTCAACACTATCTGAGACTGATAGAAGAAGTGTTGTATATTTATTAGGGCTGCACAGCTAAGGCGGAGAAAAAAAAGTAGTGTGTTTCCGGTAACCTGACCGACCGAGAATTTCTACGTGGAAAAAAAACTTTACGGTCGGCATTTTTTTCAAACAACCTTCTACATTTTTGTGTCAAGGGTTTACATCGGTGCAAACTCTCGCGATATTCACGTTGAGTGCGTGCGTCGTTTGCCCTGTCGTCTGTCAACAATATTGAATCATGGCGGCGGCCACGATCTCCGACGACAGTTTAAACCGCGTTGTCTGTGTTACAGTCGCGTGCTCGCACCGTAATGTTAAGAAAATAACATCCATTGATGTATCGAAAAAATTCAGCGAACTATTTGATGAACACCACGGGCCGAGTAAAAACCGAGGGCGGAGGAGGACGGCGGAGGAGGACGGCGGAGGCGGCGGCGCGCCCCGACCCCCAGAGTCCGGAGCGGGGAGAAAACTAAATAGGTGGCGGGGGCTCCGGCCGCGGAGCGGACTAGTCCAGGCCGTGCTGCGGCCGGCGTCGGGGACCTCTCCCCGCCGGTGCCATCACGACCCGGCCGACCTCGGAACCTAACACTCAGCCGCCGGGCCTTTGGTGGCGAGCGGGGGGTTCAATGTCTCCTTATTTTATGTTTTATGGTTATTTTGTTTAAATTTTTGATGGAAAAAAAAAAGATTTAAAAAAAAAAAATGTCCGACCTACCGACCCTATGCTGAAATTTCATGTTACTTTTTTGTTTGGCCTAACGATTATTTTCCAAAGTGTGATGAAAGTCTCTTAATCTGTTTATCACTTTGGCAATGTATCGATGAATCAGATTTAAAAAGTAAGCTTTCATTTCCGTCCTTTTATTCAAAACAGGACAGGACTTCACATTGACAATGCACAAAATGTACAAGCATTAATGAATCAATCTTCAGTTATTGGTTTGGTCTGTAGCATGTCAGAAAAAAAGGGCAAACATGTCAATCTTTTTTTTTCAACGTTAAAGCAAATCTTTTCACATTCAATTCAATTTTGGTTCAGCACAAAGACACCACAGAAATTGGAGATTAAGGGATTATTAAAAATGATTAACCATTGATTCCATAATTTAGGAGTTGTCTATTAATTGTCGCAGCACGATTTCATCTGTTCCCTCGCTATTGTGTTGACGCATTCACATAATTGTTTTTTTTTTTTCCACAATAATCATTATCGTTAATCAGGAATAACAACATAACATTGAAGGTAATGTGAGCAAATTTTGGATTTTAGAAGTGTGACTCACACTGGTAGCCCTTCAAATGAACCAGTACCCAAGACGTAGCTCTCACTTCCGAAACATTTGGTGACCCTTTCTCTAAATTGTCGACAAATGTGAATTTGTGTCAGAATGACTGTTTGTCTGTATGTGCCCTGCGATTGACAGGCGACCAGATCTGCAAAAGTTTGCAGGGGATCGATTTAGGCTCGACACAACCCTAATGAGAACAATTACAGTTCACGGACGTCAAGCAAATTAAGCACTTTGACACCCGTCAGTCTTAACTCATGATACGAATATTTATATATTGTGGATCACTTGCTTTCAACAACTCATTAGAACTGAGGTTAAGTAAAACATTCGCTGTAATAATAAGTTCATAAGATTATCAATGACGATGGTGAATGAACATTTCATTGTGATTGGCTGGCAACCAGTTCAAGGGTGTAACTCGCCTACTGCCTGAGGACAGCTGTGATAGACTAGAGCAGGGGTGGCCAACCCGCGGCTCGCGAGCCGCATGCTCCTCTTTGGTTGGTTCCATGTGGTTCCTGGGCTTTCACACGACAATTGTCGAAAACGCCTCGGCGATGGCGCTGCCATTCAAACAACGGTGCTTAATACACAGAACATATCATCAATCCCATTACTTGATTGACATAGAGGGCAACCAATCAAATGACTGAATCATCACTCATGCGCAGACAATGGCGCTAAGTGCTAAGCTAGTCAGTGAATTACCTCTGTTTTTAAGGAAGGGGTGCCCAATACGTCGATCACAATCGACCAAGAGCCAGCAGACTGGTCCCAAGTCGCGG